TTGAACCACCAGCCTTCTGGTTAGCAGTCAAGTGCCTTAGGCACTATGCTACCAGAGCTCCTATGTTACATACTAGAGGCAGAAATTTTTCCTCTCCAGGAAACCTCAGAATTTTGTTAGGAGGCTTTCAGGTGTTTAGATGACACCCATCCATATTCTCAGGGATAATCTCTTTTACTTAATGTCACCTGATTGTAGATGTAAATACCTTCATAGCAATATCTAGTCTAGTGTTTGACCGAACAGTTGGGTGCTACCATAGCCTAGCCAAGTGGAAATTAACCATCATGCTGGATAACTTGTGTTCTGGTAAAAACTGAGAAGTTCATGTTTGTAGTCCACTGTTTGTCAATTTGTAAGTATTAACATTCTTTGCGATTAAAACTTCTGACAATTTTGTCTTGTTCTATTACATTCTTGCTTCTAGTTCACACATTTTTAAATAATATGATCATAAAGTCATGCTTCCTTATATAATTTCTAAGTATTAATCTTTCAGCAATTCCTTTAGGAAAGAATAATAACACTATGTTTGTTGTGCAGTTAACATTTCCCAAAGCACTTTGACATATATTATCTCATTCAATCCTTATGATAACTCTGAGGTAAAAATGTTGTTGTTGTTAGGTCCCGTCAAGTCAGCTCTGACTCATAGCGACTCTATGTACAACGGAACAAAATACTGCCTGGTCATGTGCCATCCTTACAGTCCTTGTTATACCTGTCCAGTAATATATCAGACAGTCGTTTTACTACTATTCATAAGGTTTTCACTGTCCAATTCTTTGAGAAGTGAATGGCCCCTTCCTTCTTCCGAGACTGTCCCTATTTGTATAAATAATGGAAATGGTGGCTGGAGAAGTGACTAAATTTAACTAGGGAGTAAAGCTGGAACCAAAACTTGTGTCTTCTGATTCAAAGTCAAGTGTGTTTTGCACTGCACATCAGAGACATGTTTTACATGGCTTCTGTATAAATCAGGAGCTCTGGTAGCATAGTGCCTAAGGCACTTGACTGCTATTCAGAAGGCTGGAGGTTCAAACCCACCAGAAACTTCTCAGAAGGAAGGTTGGGCAATCTACTTTCATAGTGATACTGCCTCGGAAACCCAAGGAGGAGTCGCTATGAGTCGGACCCAACTTGATGGCACATAACAACAACAACACTGTATAAGTCAGAGAGCTTAATTTTCTTTCCCAAAGACTGGTTCAGTTACCATAAGGATCATAATTTGTCATTGTTACTGTTAGTTACCATTGAGTCAGCTCAAAACAAATATATAACAGAATGAAACATTTCCTAGTCTTGTGACATCATCATGATCCTTAATTGATATCCCAGTTCATGGCTCTGGAAAGGGCCTGTTCTCTTCACCGGTATCTTCCCTACTGTTCTAATATCATTCAATATGTTATACATATGGGATACTGTAAAATGAATATAGTAATAGGAATAAATATAACATAAGCTTTGCCTGTTTTAGAAGTTTGTGTTAATTATCATGCCCCTTCTCTGTTTTTTTCTCTTTCAGTATTTCTCCGTCTTATAAGATTCTACCATCAGTATCAGAGACGTTTCCAACGTTAAGATCAATGATTGAGGTGCTAAACACAGACTCTTCTCCACGTTGTCTTAAGAAATTCTAATTACTCAGTAGTATTTATACAAGTAAAGGGCCGGGACCTCTTGCTTCTTAAGTTATTTTTTAAAAACATGGAATTATACAGAAATTAGGTCCTTTATTATTTTTGATACCGATTTTTGATAGGAATTGAATACTTGAAATCATTTTCTTTACTTTTCTGAACCATAACAAAAATCATGAAAGAGGCTTTTCAGGAGTAAAGAAAGCTATATGTATGGGAGGAAAAGTATATGTACGGGAGGAAAAATATATGTACTGGCCAATGGCCTATTGGTTTCCACTTGTAAAGGTCATACAACTAGTTCCCTACAGCAAAAAAAAAGACCAAAAAATAATTAAAATGAACAGAACCAACAATAAAACATAAGTGTTCTCATTCCTTTAAAGATATGGGTATTTTTTCAATAACTTTCTCTTTATGCACTTTGTGAGAATGTCGTTTTTCAACTCATGTAACTTTCATATATGTGGTCTCTATTTCATTTGACTATGAAAGATTTGTGGGCCATGGACGTGCACCACAGAACTCACATGGCCAGGAACAGTTATTTTGTGTGACACAGACAGTATCTGCCAATGACCAAACACTGAATTATTGAAACATGGTTTTCCTTTGTTGGGGTGGGGGAAAAAATCAGGGGTGATTTCTATAAATCACCGGTTTTAACACCAGATTATATATGTTTTTATTTTGTGAACTAGTCTCACTTTCAGGTATAAAAACATTCAGAAAATCATTGATTTTTTGTTTTTTTCCAGACAGTGTAAATGATAATGAATGAGTAAAATTCATTAATTAAAATGTTGCCATTTCCAGATTATTTTTATTTTTGCTCCTTGATTTTTGTTTAAAGAGTTAAACTGTTTACTGTCATTTAGTTTTTTTCTGTCAAAATTTTTCATGCGAGCAGTATAACAATGCCTCCAAGTAAGGAGCCTGTCTCATGGTGGTTTAAGTGGTTCTGGGCATCCACAGAGGTATCTGTAAGTCCTGGTAGAATGTGAGTAAAAATGGTGTGGCAGAGGCATCTGACCGCCTTTAATTTCACTAGAGGGAGGAGAGAATCACCGTCAACATCAGCCCAAGGTTGATTCTTATCAGGAAGAGGTAAGACATGCTTCTACCCTCCAACCTTGTTAACAGTTCTCACACCAGCTGTCCCTCATACAGTATTCTTTACTTCTCTGCAGGGTTCAATAATTCATTGCAATGGCTACACAAAACTCACAGACCATACTTACAATTATGGGATTTATTAGGGAAGTAACAGGTTGCAATTCAGGATTAGGAATGACTCAGTATACAGTTCTTCAGACAGGACAGGTCCTCAGCTGTACGCCCAGGCAGGCCTCTCTCTTGGCACCTGAGTCCCTCAAGCTGGCCTCTGTCCTGCCCCCACAACTGTTACAAAGCTGTTAAGCTCCCTGATAAGTGCCCAGAGGCAGCCCACTCCACCAGGAAGCCTCCTGCCCAAAGGCAGTCAGCTCTCTTGCTCCATGAGTTGGCAAGCTATTGTAACCATCTTGTTCCATGGGTTAGGAAGCCCACTGTGCCATCTCATGCTGGTCTCCTTGTTCTGCTGCCACCATTTCTCTGCCACTGCTTGTTGCCTTCTCCAATTTTATAGCTATCTTTTTCTCTGTGTGTGTCTTGGGTCTGTGAGGTTCTCAGCATAGGGACCACAGGTCCAAAGGATACAACCCACTCCTGGGTCTTGGTGGTAGTGAGATTTCCCCTTTCCCACCTCTGGGATGGCAAAACTAACCGGTTTCCTAGATAGGGTTCCATATACCTTATTTCATAATCCCGCCCCCACAAGTGTGCCATACACCTTATTTGCATTAGCAGTAAGCTGTCCAGTCCCCTTGGTGGGCTATAAGCACCTTATTTGCATAGTTCCACCCAATCATTCTATGGGAGTAATGATGGCTAGACAGACCATATTAGTAATTCACTGCACCACAATGTGACACATTTGATCAGTTCCTGACATTCTTGGACTTACATTTGGGCAGATGCTGCTCTGGGGCACTGACATGTGCTTCAAAACAACCACAAAGATGTGGTTAACGTTCTCCTCCCATTCCAGTAACCACTGAAGAAGGAGATACTGACATAAATTATTAGGCACAGCTTGTTTAATGAGCAGATTCCACTCCACAGATGAATTTCTTCTGAGGCTAAGCACTCAGAAAGAACAAGCATCTTTATTTCCATTTTGCAGGTCCTTTCTGACACCATGGTCTTTGGGAACCAATGATTTAATTTTCAGACCTTCTCAAGACCTAGAAAATACTAAACACTTTACCCACAAAATCTCCATGTGTCTGTTATGTTGTTTTGCACTCTAACATCATGATTTTTAAGCCAAACTGGTCCACTTGAAGACTTTTGAAACCAAAAAAGAGGGTCCATTTAGATGTGTTCTGGAGGAGTGCAAAAGCAAGATGAGAACTGCAGAAATTGAACATAGTGTAAATGAATAGATATTTAAACATTTCCCTCTTTTCACTTATTTCACAAAGTCAGAATCCTTCGATTTTATCAAGGACTTTCTTCATGTTATCACCAGCTTCTTAAGACTTTAAATTGTGAGATCCCCATTTTTCAATTACTTTTTGAAAATACAACAGTTTATCTAAACTCAAAAATTAGAATATATTTTTCTTGAAACTTTGAAACTCCAAGTAACTACATTTCAACTTTTACTTAATTAGCCCATCATGCGAGTAATATGGCTGTCACAACATTGCAAATACTGGAAAACAATGTGCTAAATTCTATGATTGTAAGATGTTCTGGAAAAATACTCCATCTTCTGGCCTAGGCCCCCAAATACTAGGGCCTAATTAAATGTGGTATGAACAAAACAGGAGCAGTTTTAACTGATAGTAGAGAAGATGCCCTTTGTTGGTGCTCCAGTTCCCATCTCAAGAAGGCTTGACTCAAGAAGGCCATGATGATATGAAATACATTTTTACATCATTGTATTTAAGGTTCTCTCACAACTTCTGTTAAATTGAGAAATTACACTTAAAAATCAACCAGAATTTCATTATACAAGTAATTCTCTCTTTAAAGACTTTACTTTTTTTTAATCTAATCTCTTTCTTAAAAGTTGGAATTAGGTTTGCTGTTATTCTTTAACTGTTATATTGAAACCTTTGGATCTTTCTGAGGAGACAAGAGTACTATGTTTTATTAAGACTGTTTTTCATCTCATTAGCTATGCTTATCCTTCTGATTTCATGGCATACCACTCAGGAATCTCCTATGGCCCTGAGACCCTCAGACTACTTGCCTTCTGACTACGATAAATCATGTTTGAGGTGCATTTCTGCCCAAAGTCCCAGTGCTTTGCAGTTTTGCTAATTATCCACATTTTGGTTCTCTTATACTGCATTTGAGAGCTCTGGTGGTGTAGTGCCTAAGGCAATTGACTGCTAACCAGAAGGCTGGTGGTTCAAATGCACCAGCCACTCCTCGGAAGGAAGATTGGGTAATCTACTTCCATAGAGATACCACCTCAGAAACCCAAGGAAGGGTCGCTACGAGTAGAATCGACTCAATGGCAGTGAGTTTGGTTTTGGTTTATACTGCAGTTATTAGTAGTAGAACTCCTTCACAGAACCCATTTGCCTGCTCACTATTGGTATTGGGATTCCTTTACCCCCTAAATAATTTGAAATGTGTGTTATAAAGGGGAACCTAGTCTAGGGATGTTATCCAGGATTCAGCTTTTTACCCTATGTCTCGCTCGCAGCCCTTTAGCAACTCCCCCGGAACAATATCCATCATCCTCCATTGACTACATCTTAATCACTACTTCCCTAGTCTTCTATTGCAATCTCTTGACTTACTTCAGTAGTTTTCTGACTGGTCTTCCTTCTGCTATTCTATTTGAGCCATTCACAATTTCTTAATGCCCTTAAAATAAAATTTAATCTCCTTACTGTAGCCTACATGATACAGCTTCTTTGAGTTTCTCCAACCTCATCTTATACTTCTTGTCCCCTTATCTATATGCTATAGCCACATTCTTCTTTTTATTGCACCATCAACTCACAGAGCCTTTTTCCTCCTTAGGGACTTTTCAGTTAACTCAGCACTGTCCATTAGAACATTTTGTAATGGAATGTTCCATATCTGTGCTGTCCAATATGGTAACCACTAGCCACATGTGACTACTGATCACTTGAAATGAGGCTAGTGTTACATAGGAACTAATTTTAATTTAAATAGCCACATGTAGGTAGTGGCTATTGTATTTGACAGTGGAGCCTAGAGAGTTTCAAGTTAGACTTTAGAGTAAATTTTTTTCCATAGAAATATTCTGATATTCTCTGGTAGGAGTTTAGTATCATTAGGAAATTGATATTATGGACTTGGCCAAGTGGCTAAGCTTTATTTGTAAAATTGTTTCTGTGTATCAAGATGTTCAAAGTTTCAAAAGACTAACTTAAAAGAACTACTTTAGATCAAAACTTGTTAGTAAATTAGGAATGTGTTAGTGTGGAACTTCTTTGGTGTAGAAAGTATATGAAAGACAAAAACTGGCCTCCTCCAACTCACCAATAATTAACCTCTGATAATTTGAAAATAAGGGAATAAGACCTATAAAGTCAATGGATGACCAGAGCAGAGACCAATAAAATCACTTACAGAGACCCATGTGTCCTAAACCAGCAAGATCTGACTGTATTTATGGACATACCCTAAAATTCCTTAATGGAGCTGGCAGTTTCTTGCCCTGAAATCTGTTCTTTACCTCACTCTTCCCTATTTAAGCAATGGCCCCTTTCCACCCAGACTCAAGCCAAAAACCTAGATGGTATTTTGATTCTGCACTGTTCATTCCTTAGTTTCCAAAATTCATCTTCAGCTCCTATGCAGTGAATCTCTAAAAATATCACAGATCTATTTATGTCTAACCATCTCCACTGTCACTCAAGCCCAAGCTATTTAACTAAAATAAAATTAAATCAAAATCTTGTCCCTTAGTTGTATTAGCCCCATTTCAAGTACCCAATAACCATATGTGGCTGGTGGCTACCATATTGGACAATACATCCCATCATGGTAGAAAGTTCTATTAGACAGTGCTATAACCCTGAAAATAAAGACACCCCCCACTTCTGCATTAGATAATTAGAGTGGGGGACCCTGTTGTCTTAAGCAAACACCCAAGTTTTGAGGGACTCAGGGTAAAAGTCTCAGGGTTTGGTGGCAGTGCAGGGTGACAGAGAAAAGACAATCTCCAGTACCCACTTGAAAAGTTTCCATCTATTACTGATCCAGTGAGTCTGGGGTTAAGCTTGGGGATCTGTGTTTTCACAGTAGCTCAAGTGATACACACCCAGGTGGTCCAAGAACCATACTTGACAAACATCAAAACAGGAGATCATGAAACTACCTCTCTGCCCCTGGGATTTTTTTTTCCCACTAGCTGCCATCATGAAACGGGAATGTTCTTGAACAATATTATAGTTGCATTTAGAATTATGGTAATCCTTTTGTTCTTCAAATTATGTTCTCACAAATACAAAATCCCTATATAGAAATGCAGAATTCTATTATGCTGCGAGTATAAAGTTTACCACTTACAAAATAATCTACAAAAGTTGAGTAAGGAATTTATGTGAAACAAATTACACATACTTCATT